TTACAGTTTTCTCTATTAAAAATAAGGTGCTGAAATTTCCTATATGACAGTCGTATTCTCCAACCGAGATTAAAACCTTGTTAAATCCTTTCGGACACTTACTGTAGAATTTTAAAATCAGTCAACTTTCGACGAAAAGTTTTAGATACTAAATTTAGTGGCGGCTTCGCTATTCCCAGAATTCTAAATGTCATGGATCGAGGAAGTCACAATTCTTTCAACGTATTTTGTTTCAAACCACACAGCAGGAATCTGAAATCACCGCATGTTATTTAATTCAGGATGCTGGATGACGGGATTTATTCCCAGGGGAAGGTTAATCACTCTTAGTTTGCAACTGTCATGAATTATTTTTCGAGGATGAGTTTCTGGTAACAACCGGTAACATTCAACATACCTTTTTTTGGACCTATACTGGAAACTTCTGTTTTTAGCTTTTAATACTGAGTAATACCTCCAGTTGCATAAAACAAATGTGTAATTAACGAATCTCCCTGGAGTTTTTAATTCGTTAGTTCATAAAATATTAAAACATTTTAATCTTTTTTATGTACCGCGTTAGTGTGGGAGATGACTCTCCACAACATCTGTATATCTTAGCACTGTTCCTTTTTATTTTTACTATCTACATCCTTTCTTTTGTCATCAATTTACGCAAGTTTGTTTGGTAGGTTACTTGCTGTTTTCTTCTGTCTTCAATAGGTCATGTGAGCGTCAAATTCTCCAAACACTCTTTCTTCATTACATCCTAGATATTACAACTGTCCCTTCCTGATTCTAAGCCTAACCGTCCGTCTTGCTTCCATTTTCCTTAAATCGTCCTCTGCCGGTGGTATTTTCAGCATTCTTTTGCAGAACCATATCTCTGGTATCTCCAATCTGCTGACATTTTAATAATGATAATAATAACGACATTATTGATAAAAGGGAGATAATTATATTAGTCCTATTCATAATGTGTACCTTGAATTTTATTATTAGATGAAATATTGGCAGTAATATTTTCTATTAGCATTTCTTACATTTTCTTTGTTTTGCAATGACTCTCAGTCATCGGTCGTCGGTAAATAGCGTAAATCGGAAATATAGTATAAGCTGTTGCGAGCATATCATTAGTGGTGTTAAAATCAAATGTAAACATTGCCAAAATCATTGCATTTAGAAACTGATAATCGCATTAAAAGAAAGCTTGAACTATTTAGAACAGTGGTAGAAAAGTAAAATTTGCAAGCTAAGTAAAACCTAAAGAAAACAATGAGCATGCCAAGGGTCATAGTTCATATTTTAGAAAACATTACAAACTAAAAAGGAACACAAAATATATTGGTATAGGTTAAACGAAAGAAGGCACAGTGGTGTAAAGGATAGTGGCTCGGATTGAGGAATCGGAAAGCCGAGTTCAAATTTCAGTTGAATCCATTACATTCACTTACGTGCTAATACCCTTGGGAAAGGTATGAATCCTCTTCTTCTCCCCACCAGCTATGGGTAAATAGTAGGACAGACCGGGTTCTATAGACTTGGATGGCAAATTGTCTACCGCAGAAAGAAATGTCAACCTACTGCGGAAAAAATCTGCCTCGTCAGTCACGTATCGAAAGATACATGATCGCCTAAGCGTGTATCACGCATGGCACTGATAGGATAAATAAGATTTTAGAATGTAGACAAACCAATCAGAGCATAGCGCGCGAAAATGTTTAGGACTATAAATACATTTTTAGGTGAGAGACCCCCTTTTTTTTTTGACCAAGAGAGCCATTTATCAAACATTACAATGAAAACTTTCGTAGATACTGCCGCCATTTCTCACACACAAAAATGCATTTTTTATTTCAGCTAAAAGTTAAAAAAAAAAAGTCAATTTAACCACCAAGAGCAAAACCTGTTGAGACGGCTTTCGAATATAAGTATTTTTCTTTTCACCTTCTTTAGTTTTCTTTCCTCACATTTTAAATTTCTAGGGCAGATAACGAGAAAAGAGGTCTTGGAAATTTTTCACAAGACAGATTGAAGGCAAGAGGGATAGAGGAAAAGGACATATAACATACTTAGTGAGCTTGAGTAAATGGATGTCGGAACAGGGTTTATGAGAAGTAACAAAAAGAGGACAGAAAATTATAATAATTTATTAAGGACAGAAAATTGTGGAGGGCCATGATCGCCCACGTCCTGATGGGACACAGCACGTAAAGAAGAAGATTTTTATGACGTCATAATTTTTTAATATAATAATTTGAAGATAAAGTTTGTTTTAATTTTGAAAACAAATGTAGAGTTAGCTAATTTTATTCAAATTTTATTTTGCTATTCTCTGCTAGCCGCAATGATGGCGAAAGCATTACCTGGCACCATGGCCAGTGAGACACGCTGCAAGAGCCACTCGAGGCTCGTCCCTTAATCGAGACGCAATCCCGCCAACCCTCCGAAGGAACGCCATCGAACGAGGGCCAATAACCTCAGAAGTATCCCCAGACACTGGAGTAAAAATAAATCTGTCCGCAAGAGAAGAATATTTTTTTTTTTTTTTTATCTCCGCATCCCTTGCGAGACAGACCCCGGCTTAACCGCAAACCTGATCAAATTACCGGTCGAAAAATATATCTGCACAGGTTGCATCCCAAATCAACGACTTCCCCACTTTAAAAAGTAAAATGGTAATCCCATCCGGCCGTTTCCCATCACCACGGTCGGAGTCTACGGATTCGATTTGGGAAGGAACCCCAGCTGCATCCAGACCTCTTCTGATAATCTCGTTTATTGTTCACTAGCAGTAGAGCCCGGCGTTGCCCGGGGATGTAACAGTAAGAGATAGATCAAGTATCGACCATCATAAAGACTGAAAAATAAAATTGACAAAGATTATTGTTTAAGGTTGACGGACACGCATGTCTTAATTAGTTTTTTTTTTTTTTACGAATTGGTCAAACCCAAACTCAAACAAAAACATTGTTTTCAATCGTCATGAGTCTACCGATTGAATAGAATTTTATTATAAACAATTGTCTTGTAGATGGAATTTTTAAAGCATTCTGAATATAAAAATAAAGAAAAAAGTGTGCAAGACAATAAGAAACGCTACCGGTAAGTTTTGTTGAAATCGGTTGAAAAATGTAGGAAATCCGATCCCATATATAAAGAAACACACACACACACACACACACACACACACACACACACACACACACACAAACAAACAAACAAACAACCTGGGTTTTTAAGTATAACTCAATATGAGTTGTCCCCCTTTCATTCTCGCGATAGCGATGCCTCTTAATCGTGTTTTCAAATTGATTTCATGCAAAAACAATTGTGTTTTTCCAATTTTTGGTGCTGTTAGAACCACCGCAAGGTAATTTTACGTAGTCCTGTGAAGTTTTGTTGAAATCGGTTGAAAAGTGTAGGAAATCCGATCCAATATATAAACGAACAGACACACACACACACACAACCTGGGTTTTATAATAAGTATGATGTCTTGGGAAGCGACCGTCTCTACGACGACCGGAGAGAAGATGCAAACCAAACTCATCAATAAAAGCTCCACATCTGTATCTGTGAGGCTCACATAATTTAAGCCCGAGACTTCGACTCGAGTGCACTCATCATTCAGAAGGGTACCAATAGATGAGGAGGACATTGCGTTGAGCCAGGCGCCACTACTCGGTTGTGAAGCAGATAGTAGACAAGCGAGGCGGTGCTGATCCAGAGAGAGAACCAAATTAATAAAATTGGCCACGCCTTTTATTTTATCCTACCTTTTCGGTTTTGATGTGTCTTGTGGGATAGAGAGTAATTCTTGGGCCCAGACTAAAGAACTAACCGAAAAACATTGAGACAATCCACCGAGTATCTCATCAATTAATTCACGACTGGAAGAAAGTGAAGAAAGATGTATTGGAAGGGTCAAGTCTGCCGTTGATCGAAGACCCTGGCTTCCGAAACTCAAAGGGTGCTTCGCCTGCTCCCAGCCTGTGTCGTCGAAATTAACGTTGCAAATTAATTCCGCGCGTCTCTTAATTGTGATATCTACCCCTGTTTAAGAAATCCCGAAGAGAAAAACTGTTCTTACTTAATTGGATATTAGTTAAAAACAAATAACTTATCTCTATTATTTTTCTAACCAACGTATTACATGCAAAACAAATAAAAAAAACAAGTTCAAATTCTAACAAATTTTCTTTTGATCAAATTGCGTCTTCGATCTCCTCTCGGTACAATGTCCTCATGGAAATGATCAATTACTCGTAAAAGCGAACATTCTAGAATCAAATTTTCACCAGTCGATCTTGTGTAACAGTTAACAAATTTCTGGAAAATAGGTTGGACTGATTTTTTTTTTAATTGCTTATATTTTTTTTCAAGATATTTATAATGATCGATAATCGATTCCATAGAAAAGGCTTATGAGAATAGAATAAAATAAATATGTTAAAAAAGGAATGTGAACTGAATATACTCTAATATTATTTTCTATCTTTTTTCATAACTTAAAACGAATGAATGAATGAATGAAGAAATCGAATGTTTAGGTACATCAGTTTGTCAGTCAAAACACGCTAAGAATACCACGAACAGAATATATATATATATATATATATATATATATAAGTAACAAGGAAGTTTTAAGGAAATTGGAAACAAAATTGACACTTATAATTAAGATGAGATAGTTGAAATTTCTAGGATACATAACGAGGAAAGAGGGCTTGAAGAATTTAACACTCACAGGACATACTGAAGATTGTTTTATTGATTCATTTTCTACTGCTTATCAACTATTTACGGGTTATTTAAATCTAGACAATATTTTTAAATTGTAAGATTTTTTTTAGAAAAATAGTGATTCCGTGAAACAATTCTTACTAATTAAGTAAGAAGAGGGGGACTAAGGTTATTTGCTCGTAAATGAATATAACGAACCCAACTAGAATTGAAACTCGGCTCTCCTATTACCAATTCCGAGCCATTATCACAATTACACCACCCATACATCCAAGCTTACAGCAACTTGTATTCCTAAGTGGTCGCTCATCTAGGTACTGATCAGGTTCGGAGTTGCTTAACTTCGTTGATCACACAGGAACCGGTGTTTCAACGTGATGTGGCCGTAAACCCATACTGAAGACAATAGATTTATTGTGTGTGCGTTTAATAAAATAAGCCCAACCGAAAACAAGTAAAATTAATTATCTATCTATCTATCTATCTATCTATCTATCTATCTATCTATCTATCTCTCTCTCTCTCTCTCTCTCTATATATATATATATATATATATATATATATATATATGCGTAATATGTTTGAATTTGTCATTCCTCTTACCTATGATTTGTGTGAAATCATTATGAATTTTCCATATTAGTATATGAGACCATTGGAAACATACAACATAGATTTCTTTCTTCCTTTCTTTCTTTCTTTCTTTCTTTCTATTTCATTCCGTTCATATCTATCTATCTATCTATCTATCTATCTATCTAGGAATGTTTATTTGGTCAGTGCAAGTAAATAAAGAAATAAAAGAGGTTCGCTTTCCAGAAAAAAAAAAAAGAATTCAAAATAAAAGCAACATATGATTGAATCTATTTACTAAATTGAAGACATCGTTAAGCAAGTAAAAACCTATCCTTTTTTTATTCGAAACTGTACACAGCAGAACCAGCAAATATTGGTAATAGCTTGTGTCGGAGGTGTCAGGTGTGTCATTCCATCCTGATTATGCACGGTACACTACAGCAAAATCACATCAGAAATGACTGACACCCTCCCTATTCTTCAGATACTGCTCAATCTAATTACCCCTTATTCTGTAGTTTACAGACCCATCCTGATGGAATATATTTTATAACACACAGACAAGTAGAATCTACCACTTCTTTATTCTTGTCCTATAAATATTAGATTGAAAAGAAAGTGCCTTCATACTTTGTTATGATCACATATAGGGTAGAGTTTCAATATTTACAGTAAAAGAAGCATTGTTTACACCCCAATGTTTTTCTTTCTTAACAGATTACTTAAATAACAGAGTAATTTTTACAGCGATTTTATCCTTTTAAAATGAGTTTAGATCAGCCTATATCAGACTATATGCTGTAGGAATTAAAAAAGGGCTCTTTAACAGTGGAAACCGTAAAAAATATTCGTCCTCTCTATGAAAATGAAGCTTTAAGCGTGCAGACATACCAACGATGGTCTCATCATTTTCGTTAGGGGAATATTTCTCTCAGGGATTTCTCTTGGTCTGGACGAAAAATCTCTGTCAATATTGAGCTTCTGCAGACTGTAGTTGATTAAAAGTCCTATCATAATTATGTATGATGCACTAAAGCAAAGATTGCAATCTTGGACATTTGTGCACGCAAAAGGACGTTAAAAACAGTGTAAAAAGTACGGTTTTTTCCATAATATCGCTATCATTTTTAATCTTCACTCATCGGCAACGTTTATTGTTTAAAAGGCGATGATTATAATTTTAATAAAACCTAAACATAATGTAATACATTTTCTTTGTTCTTGAAAATTGACAACAAAAATAATAAACACGATTTATTTATTAGATTTACATTATTTATTAATTATATTGTTTATTGGAATGGTCAGTAAAACATCGGCTACCTGCCAATCAATTCGAACTTTATAAAATGGCAAATAGTAAGTAAATATGGCTGAGGAGTGAAGGGAGATAAAATAATATCTTCCTTTTTGACATTCCTTTTTTTTTTCTTTTTTTCCGGGCACGGTGGTTCAAGATTGCCACAGACATGACTGAAGACTTCGGCTAGGAAAAGAAGCTGCATGCGTTCCTTATTATTCCGATTTTGCACCATTTGATTTAAATCTAACCTGGAGTTTAAAGAACCATATTAGCTGTTTAAAACCCCTTGGAGAAGTGAAATCTACCAGCTCTCCATTATTTTCTGGCAAACGAAATTGTTATTATGAAGTTTGCGAATTGTCGGAAAGGGATTATTGATAATGGTAGAAATTATATTAATGTATGTTTTTTGATTCAACATGAATTTTTGATATTTCTCTGACCTTAAATCCGTACATTACTTACGGAATGGCCTGTTATATATTTATCTAATTAAATTTCGCTCAAAAAGAGAGATTACTTTCAAAACACTTTTGGTTAATTAAAAGTAATTATGTATGAACATGATATCTAAATGTATGATACACGCATGAGTAATTACATAGATATTTACTAAACTTAGTCTGATAAAAAGATGACCGAAGCACCCAGTGAGAATCGAACTCATTACAGCAGGTATTTATATTTCACACAAACAAATGAAGGATTAAATTAAAAAAAAGGTATTTTGATTTCTTCTATTGGCCTAAGTATTCTCCTTCGAGTCTGTTCTGCGCACATTCTCGGTTGACAGTTTCTCCTCCAAGGGTGCTTTTGACCGAGTGTCCACAGCGATTGCTGTGTTCACTTTGAAGCTGTCTGTTCAAGTTTGCATACGGCTGTCGATCTCCCTTTGCGGCGAGGCAACGATCGAAAAGAGCGGTCAGGCAACGATCGAAAAGAGCGGTCAGGCCACTCGTCTTGCGACGTTAGAGGTGAAGTTCTTGAATAGTCTCAAGATGAAATGCTGCGATGGCGTGTGGTAAACACGTTTTCCTCGATTAGATACCGTCGTAGTTCTGACCGTACACGATGCCGACTGGCGATCCTCCTCGTTCGTTTCTATGACTATCAGAAGAAGAAGAAGGTCTTTTTATGTTTAAGTAAATATTTACTGACCATAACTCAGTCTAGCACAAGGCCATATTGATAAAATACTCAGCGAGAACTGAATTACTAAGGTTACAGTATTGCTAACCATCAACCCACACAAAGTACTCTACGTAGATATTCAATAAGTTTAGTGTATTCAGGGCCGGTGCATACTATTTCTGAGCCCCCGATCGGGGGAAGACAAGATTGGGGGTCCCAAGTACTGATTTTCGTGACACTCGCTATCTTATCAACATTTGTTTTTTGTATCTGCATTTATATACGTTACAAATTAAACAAACCACAACTGACTGTTAAAGGAGGAAAAATTGACGTTGATTCCGGTCATTCTGTTTTTTTTTTGTCCAAATACGTGAATTTGTTTTGCTTATGCTAATCTGGAAAAAACACTATATAAAAAATTACTACTTTTTATCCATAATGTTAATAGTGATAAAATTATTCTACTTTTAACATGAAAAATCTGAAGTTGATGTAAAAAATTACCACAAAACATTGTTGATTTATTTAAGATGGGATGATCTATTATGATACGTCTCTAGTTTGTATTTAAATAAATTGTATTTATTTTCAATTTTTCTAGTTGAATTGTTCACCTATGTTGCATATAATCTATTATTGTACATAATTAGGTTACAATAAAACTTGTATTTTATATGAATACGACCTTATGAAAATTGAGAGGTAGTAGAGTGGAAGGGCCGTATCATAGATTCGTGGGGGGGGCGTATCATATATTCGTGGGAAAACGAGATCCTTGTACTGGCCCTGACTATGTCAATAGACTACACGAGCAAAACACCCCGTGAGGATTAAAGGAATGCTCTAGCGAAACTCATGCAATGTTATGTTAGTAACAACTGATGAGAAATTATTCGAGACTAAATTTTTCAAACGTAAAATAATTGTTTATTCACTTCCGGACTCTATTAAATTAATGTCGGCCACTCAAGGGCATATGGTTTCGAGATTTTCTTCGAACGGTCGATCTTCTTGCGAGGATGCGAGTGATTCTACCTTCTCCGCTCGTAGGTCGGCCGTTTATATAACTTTCTGTCATTCGGCTGCTTTGTGGGTATATCTTAAGATCAGCTGCTTTCATTTCTTTGTACCGGCATATTTCGAGGCCCGGTTCTGTACTTGGTGGATTTAAGGTTACCTTCTTAGACAACCCACGGGGCTCCTAGGCCTTTTGACATTCTGAGGTGAAACTGAGTACAATAATTACTTTGGTATCTGAAATATTTTAAAACTGCCAAAGCGGTTCTTGAATCTGTCTTTCCAAAAAGCAGTTTGAAAAGATAGTAAACATTCGAAAACATTTGGCAGTGGCTGCTCTAGAATTTTCACCTTAATGGAAGCTTCTGCAACAACGATTGGATTGTGATTAAAGAGACTGATAATGATGACTGTGTCCAAGAAATTTAGACAGAAAACAAAACTAACGATTTTCAACTGAAGATACATGCATAATTATGTATAGATATTTAAAAATATATTTCAACTTTATTTTTATTTGTAAACATAACTTAATTATTTATAATGAGTTATTATGTTGGGCAACAGATAACTAATGCGTCAGAGATGTTTAAGTGTTAGTTTTTAACTGGTAAACTACCCATCAAGTATAAGACGTAAGGCGATTTTGGAATTAAAAAAAAATAATGACGCCTTATATGGAAAGAAATATGACAGTCGTTTCAAAAATGGCGATACGACCAAATGAGCTCTGATCATTTGAATATATTACAAAATCAAAGCAATAAAATAAATTCAGAGCATATAAAAAGATAATGTTTCATGATTTAAAAAAGAAAATTCGACTATGCGTTTTGGTATTATCTTCGAATATCGATTGAAATTGACATTACTTTTTGTCTGCAAATTTTCTTATTTCTATTTCATTTTTTAATGAAATGTAGATTGCCCTTTAGTATTCATAATAGCTTTTTGTTATATTTGTTTGGTAATAAAAGAAATCAATATGTTTGCGAAAACGTTGAATCAAAAATATCTTCAAGATACTTTCGAAAGATGTCTGTCTGTATTAATCAAATTGCAAGAATAAATTAGGAATAAACATTAATTGACAACAGTTGACAGATTGCCATATCTATCTATCTATCTATCTATCTATCTATCTATCTATCTATCTATCTATCTATCTATCATATGCTGTCCATGTCTTAGTCTTTTCCTATCATATCGCCTCTCTCGCTCTATTTATCTAATATAGTCTGTTCACGTCTCAGTCTGTTCCTATCCTATCTATCTATCTATCTATCTATCTATCATAGTTTGTTCATGTCCCAGTCTGTTCCTATCCTAGAATATATATATATATATATATATATATATGAAGAAATATAGTTTTAAGGTGGGCTATATTTATGGGATAAAGTGCTCAATATCAGAGATAGAGCGTATGTAAATATAAATATAAAAGTGAACATTGAAGTCAACACTCAGAGGCGACAGGCTGTTTCATGCTCGACGCAATCGTCAGACGGCCTGACGACTGCGTCTAGCATGAAACAGCCTGTCGCCTCTGAGTGTTGACTTCAATGTTCACTTTTATATATATATATATATATATATATATATATATATATATATATGGGACGTGAACAGACTATGATAGATAAATATATATACTATGTTAGACAGATATATATATATATTTATATATAGTCTGTTCACGTCCCAGTCTGTTCCTATCCTATCTATCTATCTATCTATCTATCTATCTATCTATCTATCTATCTATCTATCTATCTGTGTGGTGGCTGGAAAAATTGCGCATTTTCTTCAGGTGGCTGTATTTCATTTCCATTTTGATTTCCAAAACAGTCTGGACACCTGAAGATTAATGCAGCACAATTTTTCGAATACCTAGTAGTTAGTTAATTCATTTAATTGTAAAATCTATCATAAATATATATGAAGCAGTTTCATCTTTAGTGTCTTCCGAGAGCATGTTGATGCCAATTTTATAATAGTTGTAAGTGTAACCTTCGAATGTCCGGCTGTCCTCTTATCTCCCAGCAGACAGTACAATTATATACTTATAAAACCTGACATACTCAAGACCTGTGATACTTGGCAATAATAGCAATTAGGTCCAGAAATTAAGAGGACTTAAAAGTCATAAAATATCTTAAGACTAGGATGGCCGAGGTGTCGTTTTCGACACCTTCAAATTTTCAACAAATTACTATGGAACAATTAGTTTTGGTTCGATGCTGAGGCTTATGGACAATTATTGAATTTTAGCAAAGATGCTTAACAGACTTAATTCTTTAAAAAATATTCAGTGGAATAGCTGATATTTGAGGTTTTACCTTGAATGGCCGAGGTGTCGTTTTTAACACCTAGGCTATTCATAGGGTAAATGCATTGAAAAATTTCTCACAAGCAATAATACTTGTTTTTATGTCCCCTATCTATCTATTTACCGATCTATCTATACACACACACACTCACACATAGGCTGTCCTTTTAATTTTATTTTTCCAATTTTCGGATAAAGTGTTGAGTATTATGTTCGAATTTGTAGATAAACTGTCCAAAGTTCATATTTTGTTATTTTTATTCTAGTACTTTCGTCTTTACAATCATTGTCAAAAACTGATGATGAGGTGACTGTCTGATTGTTTTAAGTCCTTTGTCTGCATCTTAGTATTCATTAGGACGCTGGAGATTTGAAATGGTATAACTTGAAGTCAAGTTTAAAGGCTACTGGGAACGAGGCTGCACAAAAGAATACGATTTATTTTATTTTATGAATTAATTTATTTGTTAATTTTTAATACTAATATAATATGAGCACACATTAATTATATCATATGCACTTAAAGATATTATCTCCTGTGTGAATCATATCTTATTTAATATTATATATATATATATATATATATATATATATATATATATATATATATATATATAATCACTTTCTTTCAGTATGAGGTATACTAATATTTGTGAATTTCTTTTCAGACTTATTATTCCTGACTTGAATATTGAATATATTAGAGATGGCTGCTTCACGGCGTAATGTAAATAAAGATGTCAAAGGAGCTGGCCATCCTAGTGTTAATATCCGTTCACCTGCCGAAATTGGTGTCTATGTAGGTCCCGTAATTAATCGACATTACATTATTTATCTAAATAAATCTCTGACAAATTTAATTTAAATAGCCTTAAAATAAACAAAAAATGATTCTTTTTAGATTAAAAGAAAAATAACTTTTGCAACTTTTTGAAGATACTGTAAAACAGATATGCCTTTTTTCTCACCGATAATATACAGATTTTATAATACTAGCCTAGCTGTTCCTATCCTATCCTACTAGGCTTCAGTTTAATTATTGACATTTTACAGGTTATTTCCCCGTGATCCCTTGCAGAAAATCGGCGATATCATGTTGAAACACCGGTTCTCGTACAATCACCGAAGTTAAGCAACATCGAGCCTGGTCAGTACATAGATGGGTGATCGTTTGGGTATACTAGGTGATGTAAGTTTGGTTGTCGTGTAATGTATAACGGATCGGAATTCCAATTCCAATTGGGTTCGTTATATTGACTTACGAGCAAATATCATTGAGAAAGGTATAAATCTACTTCTTTTCCTCCAGCTATGGGTTAATTAGTAGAACCTGTATCAGTAAAAATCATTGTTATCACCGGCAAAATTCTTACAATATAAAAATATTTTTTTGGCTTTAAATAATCCCCAAAATTTTCATAAGCCATAAAGAAAAAACACACACACACACACAAAAAAAAAAAAAATTAATCCATCAACTTTGCAGAAGCTCAATTGAAAGCCTTGAACATTGGTCCCACAACAGTGTCCGTATCTTCAAAGGCGTAGCTCATTACAAAATGTACCTCTAATATTATTTTGTTAGTTCCATTCGCGAAAATCGCTGCAAAATATTCCCTCCCCAAATTTTTCATTAAATCCTCCAGATGCATGTTGGGATTTCTTCTTAACCAATAAAAATGAACCACTTCTCGGTCTCATCCGCCATATTTTTGCTCTTACTTGTCTTGAAGTCAGAACGCTACAATCACTTGACTGTATCCCTTCTGCGTGTTAACACCATTCTTATCTTTCATTATCTTTATTACTATTACTTTGACTAGTTTTGACTTGCATATATATTGTTTACTTCGTATTATTTTGCTCTGTTCTTTTTCTCCCTTTTCATATTGTTTATTGGAAACTTTGTCAATTCCGTTTGTTGAGCATTTTTGCCAATTACACTTAACCATGGCCAATTACTCAACAGAATTATAGAGTAAGACTTTAAATTCTGAATCAGTCATATTTATATGGATGTAAATATACAGGTTTCGGTGTGAACGTGTATTTATGCGCGCGCATATACAGTGCGCTAGAATAAATGTACAAATGTAAATGGCTGTTGTTAAAAGCATTGCTCAAATGTTCTGATCTGATTCCACAATTTTAAATTAATATAGCATTTTGAGACAGCCATGTTTATCATTAATGTGATCCTATATGGCTAGAAGCAATCTTGTTATTTTATTCCAAGTTTTAAGTACAAAAGCAATAAAAAACTACCATTTTTATTATTAAATATGAAAGAGAGAAAAAGTCTTAATGGCGACTATATATTTTTAATGTCTTTTTATGTATTTATTTAATTTTTATAACTTTCCTTGTTTATTTATACGAATCGGCTGTTACCACTTTATATTTATGCTTTAAAATGATTGAAAGATAAATAGTACTTACGACGTGAAAATTTACTACCTTACTTAATGTACTGCTGTGCATAAGATTTCAGACACATTTCTATTTCTTCAACACACACAGAGACAACCAGTAGTTTATATTGCAACTATGCTGAGTTGGCCTTAGTTACAGTTTCAGGGCGATAGAGCGCAATCATAAGTGGTTCACAATTTAAACAAGAGCAGTACCTTTTATCTCTCGTTTACTATGACGTGTAACTTTGTCCTAGCACAACCATCGACAGCTTCCGGATAATTTCGTCTACCTAATTTCAACCCACAAGGCTTTGGTCAACATGTGGTATAGTTTTTCAGACGGATTCATCTCTCTAGGCTGATACCAAGAAGTCTGTTGTGAAAGAAATTGAAAAATCGGCCATGGCGATTTTCGATCCCGAGTTTCATATTCGGAAAGCTTTCGTTCTATTCACTTGGCCACATACCAATTTTTAATATTAATATTAATGTTCTATCCACTTGATATCGAGTACTGTAATTACCAAAAAATAAATAAATAAATAAAAAAATAAAAATAGATTAAATAAAATATACTGCTTGGATAAAAATAAAGAAATAAAAATAATCTCCCAGACACACTATCGACCTTTTTTTCGAAACATATTTTTTGTTATTAGATAGATAGATGGTAATATTGGCCATTTCCTTATAAGAAAACATTCGTTATCTATTGATGGAGCAGCAAGTACTACTGTCGGTTGAAATTTACAGAATCTTTCTCTAAAAAGAAATTTCCGGAAAATAGGTTTCTCATGTCCAGGAACTGCTATCGCGCTTTCCAGTATTTATACGGTAATGTTGAGAAATGCCCGAAAACCATACCACATTTCGATCCCAAAGTTAGGAGTAAAACGGTCTGAATGAAACTGTTCCGGTGCCGTCATTGGTTGTGCTAGCATGGTCTCAAGTCATCGTGACCAAGGATTTATGTGTAATGATCTTGTTCAACTATTATATCTGCAGTGTTCAATTTTTCTGTCGTTATCGAAGTCCATTTTAAATAAAAGTAAATATAAATGTTCTGTCTGACATTTAATATAATAGTAATGGTACTATTTGCCGTTTCCTTATAAAGAAACAATTCAGTCTTCACTGATTGGGCAGCTTGTACTACTGTCGGTTGAAATTTATAAAATCTTTCTCTTAAAACAATTTTCCGGAAAAAAAAAGGCTTATCAAGTCCAGTGACTGTTATCACTCTTTCTAGTATTGATAGAAATTTCCTTCCTAAGCTTTTGTTTGAAGTAGTGTGGAATGTCAACATCTTGATTATGTCATTATTTTCTCTTCGAGTTACATGTGATATCCATTTTAGTTGCTGCTGTTGGTAGTCCTCAAATGATGTTTCTGTTATCTGGTACAGTTCTTTTTTTAGGGATTATGTAGCGCCAGTCCATGTGGTTCGAAGATAGATGTAGGTAGTGTAGATATTATAAGTAACCGACATACTGATAAATATTACGCTGCAATAGTCTCTCAAATAGCAAATGCCTGTCTGAGTACCTTGCTTGGCAATCAGCATTTCAAACACTGGCCTTTTTTGGGACTCGAATACCGACTAGGGGTGCCAGAGACACGTGCAGCTATTTCCGCCCCCCCCAAATCCTGAGACAGAAAACACACACACACACACACACACACACACACACACACACACACACACACACACACACACAAAGTCTGACCAAATGGCGAAACATCAGAATTTATTTTGAAATCTCTTCTTGTAAGTATTTTGTATTCTTATAAAATATTTAATATTCTTCCAATGCTTCATTTATGTGCAATATCATTTCAATACGTGGATGAACATGACTTTCCACAACTTCCTGCCTTTTGCCCTAAGTAATGTCTGACCCTTTATTCTTCTTCTTTGTCCCTGTACTGTCATCCGTCCACACAAGCTCCTTAAGTAGGTTACTCACTGTCCCTCTATTTCTCTTGCATTCAATGTCCTGTGACTATTAAATTCTCTAAGCCCTCTTTCCTCATTATGTGTCGTAAACATTTCCGCTGTCTCTTACTGATTGCAAGTATAAGTTTCTATTTTTTTGTCCATGGCATTCTCAGTATCAGTCGGTAAATCCACATAGCTTCAAGTCTCTTTTTCATTTGTAAGGAGATCGTCCAGCATTCGCTGTCATAATAGAGTTCAGATATTAAATAACAGTTCAGCATTCTTTTCTTTTCTAATGATTTTTTCCTATCTCATAATTTTTGCTTAGTTTCTGTTGGGTCACTGTGTTGTGTCAGAAAGCTTTTCTCATCAGAATCCATTTTGGACATTTATAAATCTATCATTCGTCTGGTGCTCTTACTGTACATCTCGAGATTCTTGACAAAATCCAAAGAAGGATTTGTAATGTAATCGATCCTGACCAGGCATTTAAACGTCAGTCACTTTCTTACCGACTTGACCTGGTTTCCCTGTCTTTTCTACAAATATTTTCATGGCAACTGCTCTGACGAGCTTTGTTCCCTGACGCGCCGACTTCATGAATTTAAGGGTGCTACTAGATTGGCATCTAGGTCCCACCCTTTTACTGTTGAAGTAGATAAATGCAACTGCCACTTCTACTTCAACAGTTTATTTTCTCGCCTTTATCCCACCCGTGGAACTTCCTTCCGTTTCCTTGTTTTCCTGATAACTACAACCTTCAAAAATTTAAATGCAACGTCAATTGCCATCTTCTGAACCCCCATTCATCTTTTATCCTTTCCTCAATCTTCCCTATTCTCAGTCTTCTCTTTCATTTTCACTCACTGTAACTCCTTGCGTGATAGTGGCATTCCCGCCTTGCTTGGGGTGAAATGATTAAAAAAATTCCTGTGGCTTTCCATTTTTTATGTACCTGATTTTGACGCATAAAATCCGTAGCTAGATTTATTTTAAATTTTCGCAGCTGATTTTTTTTTTATATATAAAATTAACAATTGTTAAGAAAAAAAAATATTGTCAGACGCATAATGTAGAGTAAAATATGAAAAGTAACGATTGAAAAAAGTATTCAGACATTGATTTGATATTTTAGTACTGAGTTACTTAGACCTCATTGGCTGGGAAATATTTCTCTTAGCATTTTATAAGCGTCATCTCAACATTACTTTAAGACAAGCTTCAGCTCATTAAATCCCTACACAGTAACACACACATACACACACACACACACACACACACACATATATATATATATATATATATATATATATATATATATATATATAAAGAAAAAAATTAGAATAAAAGGCCGACTACTGCATATCTGGAGCGTAACGTTTTTAAGGCAAGCAGGCTTTGTAAGAAAAGTGCTCAATATTAAGAAATTAATAGATAATAAGCAAAATTTCTAAGTAATAAACAAATAAAAAAAATGACAAATAATAAAAAAATAAAATGTTAGATCATCATCTTCTCGACTCAGAATTTCGCAGATTGTCTCCGCTTATCAAAATGTAGCTCTAACGAAAACCCTTAACAAATCCTTGACACTAATCATGTCTAATATTCAGTAAAATCTGAATAGTTGAAATCCTTTATTAGTTTATTATATTAACAATTTACTTAAAATTTACTTACTTAAAATTTCATTGACACATTTCTGTCCGCAACGGAAAAAAATTGATTATACAAAAATTATCAAATACGCATTAGGGAACAATTTCAAATTGCAATAACATTTTTAAGAAAGAACAAATTTATTATAAGTTGACGTAAATCAATTAACGCCTTTTTAGAG